GGACGCTCTTATAAACGGACGCGGACACTAGATTTTCCTGTATGTGATCAAAAAACCTCCCATAAGCGGACGCGAAACTCTAATACCCGGACGATTTTTTAGTTCCGCTTATTGCAATGCACATATCTACATACATAAAATTCGGTAATTCCCCGATTTATATTAGGTGATTCCCCATTTACGCATTTCGTTGGGTAGCCTGTATGTAATCTTGTGGCTTGTCTTCAGTTCAGGCAAATTCGTAGTTGATTGAGTTATAGGAAAAGATGGAAGTTGTTAACGTATTAGACAGAGAAAGTGTTTCAGTTCGTCATTTGGCAAAGAGGTTTAATATTGGGAAAACGCAAGCAGCTGAAATTGCTAAAAATAAGGAAGATATCAGGAGTAAATGGCAATCAGGAACTAATATAAATCAAAAGAAGGATTTTTAAAAAAAGGAAGGTTTTGCTATAGACAAAACATGTTTTGAGTGGTTTGTGAAAGCTAGAAGTCAGAACATTCCAATCTCAGGGCCGTTAGTGAAAATGAAAGCTAAAGAAATCGCCACTACTTTGGGCTATAATAATTTCAGTGCGTCCGACGGGTGGCTGCAAAAGTGGCGCAAGAGACATAGTGTGAGTTTCAAATGCATATCTGGCGAAGCTGCTGCAGTAGATCAAGTTGATGTGTCACAATTTTTGGAGAAACTTCCGTCCATGTTGCTTGGCTACAAACCAGAAGATGTGTACAACGCAGATGAGAGTGGACTTTTTTTTCGTGCATTGCCCGACAAAACTCTGTCCTTTAAAGGAGAAACATGTGTGGGTGGAAAGTTGTCTAAGGATAGACTAACCATTTTATTCTGTGCAAATATGGCCGGTGAAAAATGCGATTTGATTGTGATCGGGAAAGCGGCACGTCCCCGTGCTTTAAAAAACGTTGCTATTAAGGATCTACCAGCGACTTGGAAATCCAACAAAAAGGCATGGATGACCCGAGAAATCATGTCTGAGTGGTTAGTCGAATTCGACCGGAAAATGAGAATCCAAAAAAGGCAAGTTCTTTTATTTTTAGACAATGCATGCTCTCATCCTCGTGATATGAAAATGAAAAATGTGAAAATTATATTTTTACCGCCAAACACAACTTCTGTTTGTCAGCCCATGGATCAAGGTGTCATACAGAACTTTAAATTTTATTATCGGCACTTGATTTTAAAACATATTTTAACAAAAATTGACGATGGTCAAAGCTTATCTGAGCTTACAAAGTCTATCAATGTGTTAGAAGCTTTGTATTTTATAAAAACAGCATGGAATAAAGTAAATTCCTCTACAATTAAAAACTGTTTTGGCAAAGCTGGATTCAGAAAAAGTGAATGTAGCTCAGAATTTGCTGAGCAAAATTATTGCGATGCTGAAGACGATCTGCCCTTAGCGACACTTGCTCAGTTACTGCGACATACCAAACATTTAGGAGTAGCAGATCCCCAGAAAGTAGATGATTTCCTGGCCATAGACAATAACATAACAACAGAAGAAAATGCAATTGGCAACTTTTCGAATTTGGATGTAGAAAGCCCAGGCCAACTTGAATATGGTAGTCCAAACGACTCAGAAGAAGAAGTGGAACTGGTGGACTCACTAAGCGGTTCAAAAACGATAAATTCATATGGGGAAGCTCTAAATCATATTTCTATATTGAAAAAATTTGCTAAAGATGATTTCACTGCATTTCAACATTTGAAAAATTTAGAAAGTTATTACGAAAATTGTCTCCTTCAGCAAAAGATGGTGAAATTTCGTCAGACAAACATTTTAAACTTTTTTCAACAAGCTAAAGAATAATGTTTTTTTTAAATTCTCGTACCATGTATTGAAGCATTTATGTTTTTGTATGCGTATATGTACATATATTATATAGATATATAGCATAAATACATACTTTAAAAATGTGGCGAGTTTCTGTTTCATTTTTCTCATGATTATAATACCTCATTTCCTCATGATTATATACCCCGTTATTTATACTCCATACTTACATACTCTCTTTTAAACGGACACCTCCCATAAGCGGACAAAAGTTACGGAACCGTGAGTGTCCGCTTATGGGAGCTTTCACTGTAATAGGTTAAAACAACAAAGTAAAAAGTAGAAAATAATTTTTAATTACAAAGGGTCCATCTTGTCCTCATTCTGTGTATTTAGTAGGCAGGTTTATTATTCTATGTACGTTGTTCCAATACTAGTTCTACGGGACTAACAGGCATCGTGAAATATATATCGATCAGGTCAACAGCAGGGCACATTCATTTCCACAGTTCATTCATCCGGTAATGGAGGTACAGAATATTAACCTGTACGCTCTTCCAGTCCGCACACAGAAAGCCTCCAATCAGAGGCGTCATGGTTCATGAATAGAAGAAAAGCCAGGCAGGGGAAAGATAGTCGTAGGCAAGGTTACTGAAACGATGTAGGTTGCAGACAAGGCAATTTGTTCATAGAAGCTGGAAAAGGGCAAGTAGTGAATTGTGTGAAATAAAAAGGGCACGAGAGTCACAAAATTCAGTCTGGTAAACATTTACAAGCACCTTAACGAACACATTGCTCATGATCCAGTCCAAGTTACAAATATTTATGTTTATAGGACAGGTTTCACCAGCGATTAAAGTATCTTATGTGAAAATAGCCACTCTACACAACTGCTTCTCTATTTATTATATACTTTGAAAATGTTACTGCCTAATAGATGGCGCTTTCTTTAAGAGCATACACAAGCGCGTGAATGACTAGGCTACGACATCTCATTTTATCTCGGAAAACTTTTTAGACGAATGGATATATCATAAGGATACGTAATTAATGGTTTGACATATCATTAGAGTCCAACCAAAGCTTCGGCTTCAGTGATATTCAGCTAGAAATGCACACTCCACCTTCGGCCAGAAAAGCCCAAAGGTTTGGACCATTGATTCCCAAAGTGGTCTATATCGACCCCTTGGGGTCTATGACAATCTGCAAGCGGTCTACGTCAGCGAAAAAAAATGTCTGCGTCCATGAAATGAATATGGGGGTCCACGATAGTGGATCTCAACACATACACTGATAGTACCTGTTTACTTACATCATACTATCTTATAATATCAAAACATATACATTGTTTATAAAAGTTCCTATGAAGTAAAAAATTCATTATATATGTTTATAAAATTTTGTAAGTTGTAGGATGTAGGTATTCGCTTTGTGGTCGCAATACATTTTGAACTTGTAAAAACATGAGAGTCGCAGTCTCAGAGCTTCGCTACCTTGCACTGACTTGTTCAATTCGTCCGTCTATAAATACGAATGTGGGACCAATACGTTTATGCGTTTCCTGAATCTTGAAAAGGAAAGTGCTAAGAAAATATTTTAAAAAATATAAACAGATAGTATATCACGCAAATTATAGTGAGGCAGTGTTATTTTGTTTGAGAGTGCTGGTGAAAAGTAAGTACATTATTTTTTATTAAATTTTAGTTTTGTACTCGTAGTTAGCAAAGATAGATAAATTACGCCAATCATGACTTTAGTTATTTGTAAATAAATATTCAATCATGCAAAATTACACGAGTACTCCTCAATAGTTTATTTTTGAAAGTTTTAGCAATCGGTAATATAATTACAGTGCAATCTACGTAATTCGAGCTAATTGTTGCAAGAAGATGTTCGAATTATGGAATGTTTTCGGAAAAATCAAAAAATATTTTTAATATACAGCTGCTAGATTTTCTGTCTTATTTAAATAATTTAATTTTGCCCACAGATGACTGATGCCATGCCCGAATCTAAAAAGAAATGTAGACAGTACAGTGTTGATTATTTGAAATTTGGCTTCATTCCATCATTGCCGGACAAACAATCGCCTATGTGCCTTTTATGCAACAAAGTTTTGGGCAATGGCGCTATGAAACCATCTAAACTGCAAGATCATCTGATAAAACAGAGAAAAATTTGAAATACTTTCAAACACTCAAAGATAAATTTCAGAAGAGTCCTACATTGGACAGAATGTTCGCTTCGACGTCACAAAGAAATGATGATGGTTTGCGGGCGTCTTACAATATCTCGTTACTTATAGCAAAATCCGGAAAACCGCATACTATCGGAGATACGTTAATTTTGCCAGCCGTTGAAGAGGTTTTAAAAACTGTTTTACACAAACCTAAATCTGATATCATTAAAAGAATTCCCTTAAGCAACAATACTGTTGAAAGACGTATTGATGAAATGACTTCTGATATTGAAAGCTTCTTATGTAATTATTTGCAAACTACCCATTTCTCTATACAACTGGACGAGTCAACTTTACCTGATAATGCAGCATTATTATTGGCATATGTTCGATTTATTATGAATCAGGAAATCTACGAAGAACTGCTCTTCGCAAGAACTTTGATAACCGACACTAAAGGTGAATCAATATTGCATGTTTTGAAGGATTACTTCATTGAAAAAGCAATTCCTTTATCAAATATAATATCAGTAGCTACAGATGGAGCACCTGCCATGGTTGGACGTTATCGTGGATTTATAAGCTATTTAAAACAAAATGTGTCAGGGGTGTTAGCAATACATTGCGTCATCCATCGACAACATTTAGTTGCTAAAAATTTGAGTGTTAGATTGCATGAATTACTTCATTTAGTCATTGATGCAGTAAACTGAATCCGAAGCAACGCGGTTATTTGCGCAGTTGTGTGAAGAAAATGACGAACACTTTCATCAGTTATTCCTTCACACTTAAGTACGCTGGCTGCCGAAAGGCTTATGTTTGACAATATTTTTTGCACTTTTTGAGACTATTTTAGAATTTCTGGATACTAAAGATAAAATTTTAAAAGAAAATTTAATGAAGAGGAAAACAGACATCGCCTATTTAACAGATTTGTTTACAAAATTTAATATGGTTAATTACAAGGCGACAGTTTAAATTTGATTAAAACAAAGTTCATCTTATCAGCGTTTCTTGCCAGAGTTATTCTAATGAAGCAAAATATTGGACGGGGCGAATTTTCTCAGTTCCCCAATTTGTCACAGACAAGATGCCAGGAAGACGACGTTTCAACTCACGTTCAACATTTAAATGCCCTCTATTCAGATTTTGAATCCAGGTTTGAGGATATTTTGACTATGGTAAAACCACCATGGATAATTAATCCATATGGTGACATAGAAAAAACGAATGTCATAATACAAGAGGAACTGACTGAACTAAGTACAAACGAAGAACTTAAGGTTCAGTTTAAAAACGGATATCAGCAATTCTGGCTGCAAAACAACATAACCGTTACTTATCCCGTATTATGGAATATAGCGAGGAAATTCCTTTCCATCGTCATACCTAGTGGAAAGGGAGTTCAGCGCTGTTACCAATCTCCTAACGAAAAAAAGAAACAGACTGGACATCATTAGCCGAGGAGATATAAGATTAACCCTTACAAAATTGACGCCAAATGTTGATCATTTATTATTAAAGCATCGGGTTCATCCTTCTCAGTAAAAATATTGACTTATTGCTTATGTTATTTTATTTATAGTTTATTTTATGTTTATTGGTGTCTGACCAATAAATGCCCGCATTGGGAATAAGTGCCCGCATCGATTTTTTCAAATAACTTTATAAAAAATATTTTTTTTAAATTATTCTGAAAATTCAAGGATAGGTACACACTAAAATTCGTTAATTTTTTCCATATTTTTAGATAACTTAAACGTATAAGAAGCGGATCAAACTAACAGTGAAATTATTGTAGAACATACGTTTATGTTATAATTGATAAACGAACTCGCTTATTGTACTATTTTAAGTAAAAAACTTTTTTTTTTATTATTTTTCACTTTTTTTTATTTTATACCTCTTATTTTTTTTCAATGCGGGCACTTATTCAAAACGCGGGCACTTATTGGTCAGACACCTGTTTATTTAATGTTACGTATATTTTACATAACAGATACAAAATTTTATTTTGAGTAGTTTTAATTTAAATTCAATTAATAAATGTATAAATTAACATGTGTTTTTACCTTAAGTTTTTAACAGTAAACTTCACTACAGTTAGAAATTTACAGGAAATCAATATCAGGTAAGTAGGGGGTCTACCCAACACGGAAAAACATGGCAAGGGGTCTACGACACAAAAAAGTTTGGGGAACTCTGGTTTGGACGAAGATCGAGGGTTAAAAAAAATCAGAGAAGTCTTGTGGGAAAATGCACATAGTCATTGTCATAGAGTTTAGGAATAGTTGAAACAGTTTTCAAGAGGTGGTTCTTCATACCACAGCAGCCACGCAGCGAAGCCTAAAAATACCATGGCTGCTTGAAGAAACTTTGTTAATCCGATTTTTGAATTGCTCAAGGTCAGTAGAACTGTTATACATCCTGATACCCTACGAACAAAGGAGCGGTCGTATCGGCCAGTTCCGGATGTACAAACTTCGAAACAGTCAGAATGCTAGGCTGAAATCAGGTAGGTCTATCTGGCTCTAAGGAGCAAGTCCCGTAGACGTAGCGGTAGAAAAGAGCTAGAATTATTACGACAAGATTTAGCTATAACATTTTGTCGTTAAAAGTGCCCTCCATTAAAACTCCTCTAACTGCCACCTATGCTAGCCAGATGCCGCGCCTCGGATCATGAATGCAAGCGAGAAAAGGTCAGAAAATGCGTGGCGTCCGTAAGCGAGGATGAAATGGCAGTTTTAATGACATTTTACCCTTTCTGCTATTAATAGCGTACGTAGTTTATTTCTGTTACGTTGCCGCGCTATGGCAGTGCGGTTGACACTATTTCCAATGAGAGATATATAGTCCAAGCTCCAACGAACTTGACTCTACATCATGGCGGATTTGGATAAAAGTGCTACAAAAGTGAGGCTGGTTAAGGCACCGTTGGTTGTCAGAGCGGTCCGTAGGATCTTAGTTCTTATGTCATAGTGTCGGTTTGAAAGTATGTCAGATCTGGTAACCCAAAAGCCAGACAATTTTAAGGAAAAAATGGAATCAAAGGGAAGAAGAAATGGAGAGGGCAAATAGGACGAAGATAATTTTTTGAGGCAGGGAGTGTTTAGGTATTGTTAAAATCGCTTTTACAGTTTGTGGTATGGTCTAGAAATATTTGATCTTGGTCAGCATTTTGTCGAAATGCTCTAATTTTGGTTGTCTTTCAAGAATTAATTACTTGCTGGACTGTGTCGTCTACTGACTAGCTGGCAATGTAGGGAATACAGAACACCAATGCCTGAAAGGCATATTTTGTTATTAATAGTCTGAGCACCAATGACACCCGTCCTTACGTTATCGCAGATTTGGATAAATATTCCAAAGCGAGGCTGGTAATGGAGAGACTGTAGAGCACCAATGCCGCACGAGTATTATGTCAAAAATCTATAAAACGTCAAATAAAACCTATAAAAGGTCATCTTGCAAACTAGGTAGTTTTTTGGGTGCAAAGAGTAATTCCACGTTTGTCCACTATACCCCATTCGGAGACCATTTACGCTCAAACAAAGCACAACATTCCCAGAAGCGAGATTATACAGGTCCGTATTTTCCTCAATGGTCTTGGAATAATCTAACGAAATAAATGACTATTTTTTTAGAAATAAGTGCACATACTTTTCACAATTCTTTATTCGCTGGAAGTACTTGAATCATCGTACGAATAGTTAATAGTAATTATTACAGGTTTAATTTGAATATCGATCATATTGTCCAGATCCCACATCGACTGAATTTATGCATATCTTGTGGACACAGTGTGCATTTTTTCTAGTTTTCTAGTGTGGTATGCAGCATTTTCAGGTACGATGACGGCATTGTCGTCAAGCTTTGGGAGCGTCTCTTCAAACTATCGTTCAAATGAGCTCCCGTCCATCTCTTCATGGTAGTTGGTCGTTTTCTTTGACCCAAATGCCCATAATACAGTGGGCACAAAGCCATCTTCACTATCTAACTGGTGTTGGTTCCAAATCTACCAGATATACCTAAGTTTTCAGCGTGGGCTCATAGATTCTGTCCATTTGACACCATTTTTACAACACAAATGACGAATTGGTTAGATACTCATACCTGATGGATTCTTTAGTCCATCTAAGAAGGCTTGTCTTGCTGACTTAATTGTAGTCAGGCCATACTGAGTTCTATCCTGTCGAATTCTGCACTTGTTCGAATGACTAATAGCTATTGCAACGCTTAGGCGGCTGCTGCTTTCAGGCGCTGCGTCTTTGTTCTACCGGGGCGTAACTGGACTACGAATAAGGTATAGGTGGTTGGTTTTACCTTGATCTTTCTTTTTCTCTTTTTTTTTTTGATTCAGTATGGGATTAATTGTGTTAATTGTTGCGTTGTTAGTTAAAGCCATGTATAGTTTTTGTTATCTAAAATCGCTCTAATGTCTTACTCTCTGAGCCTATGTTTTTTTTTTTCATTAAATTTTTTATTTTAATCATTTTCCGAAAGGTTGAGTAGAGTAGATATTTTCCAGACTGCGCCTTTTAAGGAGCATTATACTGGGTGTTTCAGTTTATTGTTGCGTAACTTCAAGGTTCGATGGAACTTTTAAAATTAATGCATAAAGTCTATATAAACATGGGTCGAAAAATGCGTGGCTTCCGAAATACAGGGTGTTTAAATTTACTTTCTAAAATAGTTCTTTTTAAATATTTCGAACAATATTTGATATATAACAGTGAAAATTGGTATACAAGGGTTTTTTGGTACGAAAAATCGAACTATGGGCATAGTTTTACTGTAGCCGCTAGAGGGCGCTCTCTACTGTACCTGTAGTGTATTAAAATGACCGAAAATTTTTTCTTGGTGCAATTTTTTGCTTTTTGAATACAAAAACTGATTCTTCGCACTTTTCAACATAAAAAAGCTCTCCTGTAAGTTTTCGTTTTAGCTAGCCGTTTTTGAGATATTTCGATTTTTAAGGTTCGATGCATTTTTAATTATTTATGGAAAAATAATTTTTTTTTAAATTTTCGATTTGAGCATTGCAAGTAATTAAGATGATCGTTTAGATTGTGTTTTTAAACATAGCAATAATCCGTAACTCCAAATAAATACAAAAAAACAGAATATTAATTTGTTTAATTTTCCAATATTATTTTTAACAAATTAAATTAATTATTTACAACTAAAATGCTGGATAGTTAGGACAAACATACAAAATCTAAAGTAGTTGCTCGAAATGTAAACCTAATTGTTCAATAAACAATTCACATCTACGAATGATCGAACGTGGTATAGCATTATTCAAATAAGGCCTTATTTCATCACATGCATTCCTGATTCTGTCTATTAGCATATCTCTTGTGGTTACGGGAGTATGGTATACTTTTTCTTGCATGCGGTAACATAACCGACGAGGATTCTGGAGACGAAGAACGACTGGATATCAACAACTTGCCCGGAAGCTTAATGCAAGCTGAGGTCGAAGTAAATAAGAATCAAAACGAGGATATGTGGAGTTCAGAAGATGAAATACCACTCAGTGAAATCAGGGGTAATAAACGGAAGGAAGTGAAAAAGAAGAAAACATATAATTACGTAAAAGAAGATTTGCCAAGAAATGAGTATGCGTTGCCAATAAACAACGAAAATCAAAATGAACAAGAGCAGTCCCCAACCGAGATATTTTTTAGCTTTTTTGATGACGAAATTTTGAACATAACAGTTGAGAAGACAAGTCGATATGCTCAACAGAAAAACAGGAATATTATTGTTACCAAATCTGAAATCAAATGTTTTCTAAGGCATATTATTGTTGAGTGGCGACAGTAGTGTATCTCGCAGAAGGATGTGTTGGGAAAAATCCAGTGATTCACACAACTCACTTGTTTCTGAAGCTATACTAAGTGACATATAAATCCGAACACCCAGTTTAAATGGTTTTATTTTAATAAAAGTTGGTGAATGTATTTATCTTACTGTAAATAACAAGTGAAAAAATTTTCAGCCTTATCAGTTGGACATTCCGGTTTTTATACTGCTTTTTTTTTAATTCACTAACGCTCCAAAAATGAATATTTCAGCCGCAGTGAAGAATCAACGTTGGCGGATTTTGGTTCTTGACATCCTTTACGATCGGTTACGATGCCTAGAGTACGGAGACCTGTACGATTTCGTCAACTTAGTGAGTTTGATAGGGGCCGTATAGTGGGACTTCGGGGAGCTGGACTTTCTTTTCGGGCAATTGCAGTTAGAGTGCAAAGAAGTGTAGACACTATGGTTAGGTGTTGTCAGGCGTAGCTTCGAGAAGGCCGTACGCAAAGAGCAAGGGGCACTGGACGCCGCCGTAGAACAACAGACCGTGAAGATCGCCGCCTAAGATTATTGGCCTTAAGGGACAGTTTCTCCACTACCTGGTCCATTGCAAATGAATGGTTTGCAGAACACGGAAGACCTATTGGCA